GAAACTGAGATAAAATTCTGATATGTCCATCTCCCATCTTAACATCCCACTTTTATCTTGTTCAACCACAGTTAATCTGCTGTCAATATCTCCAATCTTCTTATCTCTTTGTTTATCTTCTTCTTCAATTTTTTTGGAATCTCTCATCATACTTCATCATCATTTGTTGAATGTTCTCCACCTTTTCATCAGTTTTTCTTGTTCTTTGTTCAATGTTCTCTGTTCTCTTTTCAATATTCTCTGTTCTTATTTGTATATTTTGAATTCCTTGCATAATCATCTGCAGCATCACTTTTTCCTGTTCTTTTTCTTGCTGTAGCTTCATCTGTATTGAGCGTTGTCCTCCAGATGGTGAAGAGGAAGAAGTAGAAGCTGAGGAACTAGGGGCCGTTAGTTTCCTACTCATTTCAGACAATTCAAAATCTTCAGGTTCTTCTAGACCCTAATCCACTTCTGAAATAACCAATTGTAATTTCAAATAAAAATAGTGGGGGAAAAGAAGCCAAATAATAACAATAATAATAATTTAAAAAATTCTTCAGGTTCTTGTATACCTTAATCCAACTGATTGGTTAGATAGCAGTAAAAACTCAAAAATGGAAGAAAAGACCATAAACACACACAAAAAAGAAAAAAATGGTTAAATCCTGGAAAAGGCAGAAAAATAGAAAATAAAAAAACTAAAGAAGAGAAAAGAAACATTCTTCAGGTTCTTCAACACCTTAATCCAATTAAAAAGTCTCAGGTATAAAAGGATGCATAACAAAAAAAGAAAGCCACAAAAAAAAACACAATATGGAAAGTAAATAGAAAAAAAAATACAAGGGAGGGAGAGAGAAAAAAGAAAAGAGACTACTCCCTCAAAAAAAAAAAAAAAAGGAAGGAAATCATTAATACTAAAGCTTTTCCTTTAAAATAAAATGAAAACGTAAAAATTAGACTTCAAAAACAAAAAGAAAGACAAAAACAAGTTCCAAAAGGCAAAAGATCTAAATAGCTATTACAAAAAGTAAGCTAGTAAGGAGGGGGTTTGTTAAAGTAAGAAATAGCACAGCTTAAAAAAAGTAAAAAGAGCACACTGCATCTTGTTTGGTTATCCAAGGCTTTTGTTAAAATTTATTACTCTCTTTTCCAGAGTCTTATCACCATATTTTTCTATAAACTTCAACACCAGACTTCAGCTATTGATAGAAACCCAGAAGAGCACCTGCAATAATACTCTCCCATGCTCTTCCCTCTATCTTATCAAACAGGCAATGTCCTTGAAAAGAAGTCTCAGTTCTTTCTCAGCTTTGTCTGGTCAAGAAAAAAAAGAGATAGAATATTTCCAAGCCTCTAGTTGGCAGTGTTACAAAGTTTCTACTGGTTTCACTTTCCCCCTCCTTTTCCAAACAAGATATAATAAAAATTAATTAAAAAGGGAAAAAGATATTTAAAAAGATGACTAGAAGGGAGTCTCTAGCCTAAAATATTATAAAGTCAAAAAGGAGAGAAAGAATAGGTAGAAGAAGATAAAACAGTCCAGTTTCAAAATATAAAATCATGTGTAAAAAATCCAGCAATGAGAAAAAAAAAATTACTTTGACTTCCTGTTTAAAATCACTGCTTAATCACTTCTTCAAAACTTTTACAGATTCTTTCTTTTCCTTAGGATGTCCTTTCAAATCTTAAAGTAAAGAAAAAATTCTTACCAAACTGGCACACTTTCTCTTTCCGTTCTCTTTTGTTTCGGAGCTGTCCCAACTTCAGCAGCTTTAATGGCTGCCTCTTTGCTGCTGGCAAAAAGAGCTTCTCCTGGATCTACCAGGGACTTTGCGGTGTCCCTGGGATCGACAGGATGCGCTCTTTACATTCACCATCTCTTCGGGACAGTTTAGATCCGTTTGGACTGTCCAGGAGCAAAGATATCAGCAGCAATCTCAGACCTCCAAGATCACATGCCGTATTGTCATGATGCCAGCTCCGCCCTCTGCCCAGGTATGATGTAGTTTTTACCCAATGACCAGTGGATTAATTTAGCAACTCGATTATGTCTAGCTTTGTAGTCAGTTTGCATGATTTTGCTGCACTCACATATTAAATGTGAAACAGTTTTAACTTTGTCATTGAAAAGTTGGCAGTTTGGATTGTCAGTGAATTTTTGTATCTTTGCTTTCATGGCATTACTTTGTAGTGCTTGTTCTTGAGCAGCATGTATTAAACCTTCCGTTTCTTTTTTTGATGGTTCCTCTCTTAAGCCATGTCCATGTCAAATTGTCATCACATTTTTCTTCCATGTTTTTCAAGTGCTGTCCATGCAAAGCTTTGGTTTTCCATCCATTTAATTTGTCATCCAGCTGTTTTTCCTTATATTCTGCCTTTGTTTCTGTTGATTTTATAATGTTTTCTGTTTTCACAGCCTGCAGCAATTTTTCTGTACTTTGGTTCATGTGATAAGTGAGAGCAGAAATGAAATAACAGAGTTGATATTCTGAAACATGTAACTGGCTTTTATTAAATTAGATACTGCAGTATCGATCAACCTTTAATACATACTCATCATAGTATGAGGAAAAGGAGACACCTTTTCCAGTAAGAACCACATATTTATACACATAAATGGTTACATAAACAGTTACACAACACATCTTGTTTTCCAAATCAAAATTACACAGAATCCCATAGGAAAGTTGTGGGTCTTTCCACAAAAATTCCCCCACTTGACATTGGAAGATTATCAGCATTCTTTATTCAGATTTATCTCCAGATTTCCTGTTAATCAAATACCAGAAATTAATTTCTCTTAATGTGACTTTATAATGTCAAAGTGCCCTAGAACACATCTCTAACTTATGCCAAGTATATAGTTTTGCAATCTGGTATAATTTTCTTGCAGAAACACATTTCATAACTGTTCTGAGCTTTTAAAAGTTCGGACTGAGAACACAAAATGGCTTCAGTTCAGCTCTTATATTCTCAGGTGTAATAACCAAATTTCCACCAATAACAATCCACCGTTTGTTTTTGTAACTAATTTACACCTGAGAATTACCATCAAGCTCTCACAACATAAGCCTAACTTCCTGCTGACTGAATATTTTACATCTTACTTCAGGTTTCTTAGCCTTACAACAGCGGAAACATAATTGACATAATGGTATACTCTTAACACAAATACATGAAATAAACCCTATTATAAGAATTATAACAATTCCAAGTAATATCTCCTTTATCCATCCAAAATCTGGTAACCAGGAAGTCAAAACATGCCATATATGTCTTAAAGCATTACTATCTGTAACATGAGTTAAATGAGTAGTTATATTATATAAAGCCTTCAGCTTAGACTCAATAAATTGTGATTTGTCTTTTATTTCAAAGCAACAGAGCCCATCGAATTCCTCGCATCGTTGACCTATTCTAAGAAGTATATAATCAATCGCTACGTGGTTTTGTAACACAGACTTCCTTATTTCTTCCTTATTTCATCTCATCAGCTAAGGCTGCAATAGCAGAGGAAGTTACATTAATACTCTTAGCAAAGCACAAACTAAATGTTCTAACTGCATATTATTATAGTATGTAGCCCCCCAAGAAAATATTCCCAGAACACCTGCTTCTATTTTAGATAAAACTACTACTTCATCATCACAATCTGAAGAATAGGCATCACTAAGATCTGATCTTTTACCTCTATATTTCTTCACATGTTCAGCTACAGGCTCATGTTCATCTCCCCAATGGGCTATAGACCATCTAATGTAGGAGAAGTATATATAATAATATGAGGTTCTTTATGCTCTCTAGGTTTAGAAGCATCCTCATGTTCTTGAACGTGGACATGATCATGTTCCTCTTTTACTATTGTATCATCCTGCACAGGTTCTTTATAAAACCTAGGATCATGATATAAACTATAATTCATAACTTCATTGTATAATTGAGTATTTTTGTTTATATTCTTGAGATGAGCAGTAGCCATAATAGTCGTTAAATGACCAATTGTACAAGGGCCACCTATTGCATTAGCTGGTATAACTATATATGCTCCACAAAACATAAACCAACCTCTAGGTAAATATAACACATGTGTCATTCCAATCTCTGTACAATGAAAAAAAAGCTTAAGTGGGCAAAAAATTATAAACTGTTTTTTCATGCTTTTTCTCTGGATGTTTATACTTAACACAATCATAAGCTGGAAAAACTGTCTTAACTTCAATAACCAGTTTTTTCTGGTTTGTCCATTTAGTTGGTTTGACTGGAGATCCAAACAAAGTAATCACTTTTGACAAATTATACAAAGTATAAGCATCAGGATGCATAATAATCCTGGATTCACTCATCAAAAAATTTCCAGGCATGGAACTCCTATAAAACAAATAGACATAATATCTGTAACTGTAGTCTTTTACACAAAAAGAACTATTCAAAACTACCCTCATTAATTCCAGAAAAACATTTTCACTCTTAGCCACAACAAGTTCTTGTCCTTTAACATTTCTTATGCTTCTACTTAAAATTCTCGGAGCTTCCATATATCCCACTGTACATCTACCTCTCCAAGTAAATGAAAGTTTTGCAATAGCTAAACTGCCACACAAAAACATTAACTTCTTCAGAGCACCTCTTAATTCAATGAAAGGCATAAATAACATCTCCTCCAGAGCTCTAAGTCTCATATAAGAAGGGGTATAATTACAAAACATTTCAAAACAAATATAATATAATTGCTCCATCCTTTTAGATAAATCCCTCTGATTAATTACAATATAATATGTGCGGTTACATGTTGGGTATTTTCCCAAATACAAACCATCATCTAAGGTGGATCTTATACAGATACCAGCCTCAGCCATAGGTTCCATCAATGCCAGTGATATCTGCTCTTCATAATCTGTACTGTCGGGTTCAGTCTGGAAACATAACTGTTGCTACATTACTGGATAACCAGGCCATATCTCCGTAGCCTCCATACCTACCCCACACAAGGCAATAATCACTATCCACATCATTTTGACTTATGGACTAGGCCCCCACCCACCTTAACGTATGTAGTTTTACACTTCAAAACTTACAACCGGTTGTTGGGGACTTACATCCATTTCTTTATCTTCTTCCGCACTTAAAGGGCACAATATCTGTGTACACCAATCTATTATTTCATGTCTTAAAATTATCAACAATATAAGAAAAAAATGTGTTACACTCAACCAAATAATCAACTCCTCCACCCAAAGTTCCATAAACCTAAGCTAAACTAGACATAAACTCACTACACCCACTATCTAAAAAAAATAAAAAGTCCAGTCTTTTAAAACTTGCTTCTGCCTGAGACAGGAGCTGGATCCACAGATCCTTTCACACACGCATGATGTGTCCAACCTCGCTCACGTGTCCTCACAGCCAATTCAGTTGTCAAGAGCACCCGGAACAGTTCTTCCTAAATAGGCCTCAGCTTTCCACTGCTTTATCAGGACCCAGTCTCCACTCTTAAAATCATGCGCTTGGAAATCAAATGGTGGTGTTTGTGCCAAAAGTCCTTTGGACCTTAAAAGAGAAAAACACTGGGACAGTCCTTGTATATATTTTCTAAGAAAAATATCTTAGGCATACCAATACTTCCAGTATAAGGTATTCCAAACATCATTTCATATGGTGAAATCCCAACATTCTTGGAGAAGTATGCATATGCAATAGAGCTAAAGGTAAACATTTCGTCCATGGTAATTGTAGTTCTAACATCAATTTCTTTAAGGTGTTTTTTATAGTTTTGTTCTTTCTCTCCACTTTACCTGAGGAAGGGGCATGGCCAGCCAGGTGTAGCTGCCAGTCTATACCTACACACTTCATAATTCCCTTTACCACATTAGAAGTGAAATGTGTACCTCTATCACTATCAATGGGTTCAACTAATCCACATCTAGATATTATCTGTTCTAATATTAACTTCACAGTCATTTGTGCATTTGCTCTTGCCCACGGAAAGGCTTCCACCCATCCTGTCAAAAGATCAACAATTACTAATAGGTATTTCAATGTACCAACAGCTGGCATTTCAGTATAATCAATTTGTATTCTCTGAAATGGCCAGATAGCTAAATCTCTTCCTCCTTGCAAATTCTTATGCATCATCTTCTTATTTATTCGTACACAATGTACACATTTTCTACTCACTTGCATAGCTATTGCAAACATACCTCTACAAATATATTTTCTCTTCACAAAAATCCACAAGTGCTTATGTTCCCCAATGAGTACCCTCATGTAGTTTTTCTATTATGTTTCTCATAATAGGCTTATTAATTATTTTTAATCCATTTTCTGTTACCCATTTTCCATCAACACAAGTAGCACCTTCTGACTTCATCTGTTTCTCTTCTTCATCAGTGAAATCTGGTTTTACATCCCATTCCAAAACAAGAATCAAAACCATTAGCTTCACTTCTTTCCCCATCCGGGCAGCTTCTTTAGCTGCTTCATCTGCTAATTTATTTCCTAAAATCTCTTTGGAATTTCCCTTCCTATGAACTTCAACATGTATTATAGCTAAACGTTCCGGAATTTCAGCTGCTGTTAATACAACTTTTATAAGATCTACCTGTCTTACTTCCTTTCCTTTACTTGTAATAAGGCCTCTTTCTAACCAAATTTTCCCAAAAGTTTGTAAGATACCATAGGCATATTTGGAATCTGTATAAATATTACCCACTTCATTTTCTAAAAGTTTCAAGGTTTGTAATAAAGCAAATATTTTGCACACCTGTGCAGAGTATCCAGCAGGCAAACTTCCCTTTTCCAATACTTCAGACGTATCTCCATTCACAATTGCAACGGGTGTTCATACCCATTTCATACGTTTCTGCTCGAGAAGATCCACCAATAAACAAATTAATACCTCCCTCTATTGGGCCATCTTCCAAATCTTCTCTTATCTTAGTCTGTAAATCTATAGCTTCAATACAATCGTGTTCTATATTATCCCATTCTTGTTTCTCTCCTGAAAGGAATTCAGCTGGATTTAAATTCCTGTCAGTTGAGAGAAGCAGATCCTCCTGAGACAATAAAATTGCTTCATATTTCAATAATCTAGCACGTGTAAGCCGTTTATGCGCTCTCTGCATTAAAATTGTTTTCACCTGATGTGGACTGCTTACCACTAAAGCACTCCCAAAAGTTAGCTTCCTACTTTCCTCCACCAATGTAGCCATAGCTGCCACTGCCTGTATAAACAAAGGCCAACCACGCACTACAGGATCCATCAATTTTGATAAAAATGCTACAGGTTTCTTCTTCCCAGCCCAGACCTGAGCTAGAACACCTTTAGCTATTCCATCTTCTACTGCTACAAATAAATGAAAAGGTTTCTTCAAATCAGGCAAACTTAGTACAGGAGCTTGTATCAAGGCTTTCTTAAGCATCTTGATTTTATTCACCTCTTCACTATTCCATACAGCCTCCCATGGTTCATCATCCAACAATTTCTCATAGAGAAACTTAACCTTATTTGTATAATTATCTATCCAAAGATGACAAGAGCCTAAAAACCCTAAAAATTTATGAACTTCTCTCTTAGTTTTCGGTATAGGTTGTCTGACTATCCCTCCAATTCTTTCTGGATTTATTCTCTTACTTCCATGACTGATTAAATGTCCTAAGTATTTAACCTCAGACTCCACATATTGCAATTTCTTCTTTGAAACTCTCAGGCCCTGTTGTCCCAAGAAATTCAACAATGCATTTGTGCCTTTCTCTACCTCCCGTTTCTTCTCACCTGAGATTAGCAAATCATCCACATATTACAACACAAACAAATTAGGGGTCTCTGAAAACTCCTGCGGTAACACACACCATCGATACCATTGAGTTCGATGTGTATCAGGATCTGTCCATTCACAAGCAAAAATATATCTTGAGTTCTCAGCCGAAAGATATGTCCAAAAAGCATCCTTCAAACTAAAATATTTATGCTCATGTGGAACTCTCCCTAATAATGTATAGGGATCAGGTGTAACATCAATTTATTAACGGCTCTCAGATCAGCTACTAATTTAAAAGAACCATCATGTTTCTTTACAGGTAAGATAGGTGTATTATATGGTGACATTGCAGGCTCAATTAGCCCATCCCTCAGTAGAGACTCTATCACTTAAGCCACATCACCCTTCTAGGGAAATATTATATTGCTTCCGCCTCACTGGCTCAATACCCTCTTTTAAAATCATCTCCACAGGTATAATATTCAAAACACCTCTATTCCCTTTTGCTTCCCACACTATGGGATCTATAAATCTCTCCTGTTCATCAGTCAGTAAATGAACTTCTCTGCAGAAAAGATAAGCTCACATCCTAATAAAGACAAAGCATCTTATCCTAAAAGGTTCATACCTACTTCAGGTATATACAAAACATCCAATGTTATCTCAGAGTGTCCTCCTTTTAGAGACACATTTTCAACAATAGCAACATCAAAGAGTTCCCCCTTAACACCAGAGACTATCATAGTTTTCCCCACCTGAATAATGCCCTCAGGTAACTCACACAAAGACGTTTTAGCCACCCCAGTGTCTACTAGGAAAACACAGTCTATTTCCTCTGGTCCCACTTTTAAATTTACTAAAGGATCCTGGTGGGACTCAAGTGTCAGGAGCCCTTGACCCCCCTAATCTTCAATTAGGGTATACAGCCTCTGCTCCCTCCTTTGCATTCTTTGCCTGTCAGGGCAACTTCTCACAAAATGCCCCTCCTTACCACAAGCAAAACATTGCCTACTCCCCTTCATCTCTCTATTCCTATTCAAGGGGAAAAAAATCCTCTCCTTCCTTTTTCAGGATGCTTCCATCTACTCCCAGCAGATGGAGCTCCAACCCTTCTATTTTTATTTTTAGCTGCAACCAGTCCAACTGGCTTGTCTGCCTTTTCAGACGTAGTAGCTTTCAATGCTGAAAACATAATCTGAGACTTTTGACGAGATTTTGCAAGATCACAACCTATAAAAACTTTAGTAGCCTCTTGCAACAAAGTAGCTATGTCTGACTCCGCCCATCTTTCTATCTTCTGCAGTTTCTTCTGCACATCCCTCCAGGCTTTAGTAACAAATTGTAATTTCATTAAAGCCTGATATTCTGGTGTCTCAGGAGCAAGACCAGAATATTTATTCAAACTATCCTCAATTCTATTCAAGAATTCTGCTAGGGACTCATCTTTTAACTGGCCTATCTCAAAAGCTTTAGCTAGATTTCTCCCCTGTGGCACAGCAGTTTTCACACCTTGCACAATAAGTTTCTTCATATTCATCATCTGTCCACTATCCTCTGGATTCTGGCTATCCCACCCAGGATCTGCCAAAGGAAATTTCACCTCACCATCTATAGCGTTTACCACACCTCTTGTGTCTTATTCCAAAATGCTATAGCAGCTGGTTTGATCTGCACTCTCTCCTCTGGAGTAAATAAATACTCCAAAATATGTTGTAATTCCACATAAGTATAAATATTTGGTCCTAAAAACAAATTCAGAGACTTGGCCAAAGAAATTGGATCTGTCTGCAAAGTTGGCATAGATAACTTATAATTCTTCAAATCTGAGGACGTAAGTGGGACATTTACGAAAGTTGTTACGGGAATCTCTTCAGATGTGAGTCCATTGGGCATTTCATGTAATGGATAAAGCATCTGTTGTTCCCTTCTCACTTTGGATCTAGTAACAGCTCCACTAGAAGGTCCAGCAACTGCTAATGAATCCAGCTCCTGTTTTAACTCTCTATACTGAGAAATGGCAGGGAGACTTCCTCCCCACTTATCCCCTGCAGTATCTTGTGCAGACTCTGCTATGTTATAAGGAGGAGGACGTACACAACCAGCATAATCTAATGGATCCCACTTATCACTCTCCTTGGCATACAAAATCTTTTTATTATTCTTACCAAGAAGAGGGAATGGATCAGTATACTGTACATGGTACCAAGGCACTACATAAGGCAACTGAGAATCTAACTTCTTTTTAGTCAAAACAGCTTTCAAGGCATTGATCCAATATATATCAGATTCACCAAAACACGACCACCTATAATTAGGAGGTTTCGAAATATGATTCGGCAATTGAACTGTACAAAGTTCAATTAACTGTATTTTATCTAGGGGCTTTGTATACGGAACCAACCATGTCTCATTCCATTGATTTATTAACTCCCCGAGAAGAGAAAACACAGAAATGGAAGGAACTTCACTAGCAACATCTGGTTTCTTTAACCAGAAATTCCAATTCCCCATCTCTGCCGCCCCCCCTCCACACAGAAAATGACAGGAAAAAGAGAGACAGTG